AACAAAAGACTTAAAGAAAAAAAAGACTCATTACATTGAATTTTATCAATATTATCAAGTAAAAATAAAGAGCTCTTCAGTTCTGCAGTGCCTATGCACTTTCCACTACTGGTCCTCACAAAACATAGTTCATTGTCCTGCCTGTGTTTATGGCTGCAATAAAAATCGAGCAAAGAATCTCTATTTCCAAAAATTGTTCGTACTTAAAAACTTTTGTGAATCCCAATCACTAGATATTTAAATATCTTATCCCAAAATTTATGAGGTGATGCTTTGCAAATCCTTTTAAATTACACTTCTTACTTCCTCCTCCTATATGAAATCAGCATCAATCTAGCTTGAGTGGCTCAATAAATAGACAAATCTTGCTCAAGAAATCATGATCTCTTATTTTAATCAAAAGCAATATTAAGGCCTTTAACAAGAATCAGCTTAAAATCCAAAAAATCCAGCCCCCATATATATGATATGTCTTGTCAGTCTCAAAAATATCTTCCCACATTAGTAATTTTTCTATATGCATTAAAATATTTTTTCAGTCATTCTGATTCAATCTAGTAGATAATTTTCAAATAAGATTCAAGGGTGATAAACCAAACAAAATCAGTACAAGTCTTACTATCTTTACCTATACTTTGAAAATTTACTAATTTTCTGAATAAATTATGAAATTATTCCAGAATAAGGTTGAAGTTTAATTTGAATGTCATTTTTATTTTATTTTATTTTAACTTTTTACCCCAGGCAAGGTTGGAGTGCCACTAGTATGCAAGAGGTTACTGAGAGTGGGAGCAATAGTAAAGAGGCATGAAAGAGGAAAGGATGAAGAGAAGGACATGGAATAGATAAAGGCATCCAGAGATGTCAATTGACACTACATTTGAATAGTTGGAGATTATAGCTGTCAGGGAAGAAAGTAAGAAGGGAGTTCCACAGACGAGAAGTGTAAGACATGAAGCTAATGGAGTAGAAGAGATGGCGGCATTTCACCATTTTGACAGTAAAAGGGTGGGAATGAGATGCTGACCTAGTGGTACGTTTAAATTCATGTAGTTTGGGAACTAGCAAATATAGCTCATTGGAGCAGTTGCCATGAAAGTATTTGTAGAAAAGACAGAAGCATGTAATGGCACATCTGTGAGAGAGTGACTGTAAACGAGATGCCAGATCAGGGCCAACCACATTGCATATCCATCTCTGCATTTTGATAACAATTTTCTTTCTGTGTCCAATACAATTTAAATATTTATTTAAATATTTTTTTTTATGTCCAATACAATTTAAAGGATAATAAATAAAATGTGAAGATTTTGCTGGGGAAATTAAAAAATTAAGCAGCTTTATAAAAGTGTAAATGAAAGCTCAACTTGATACAATGAGTTAGAAAAGAGGCAGATTAATGAGAAGTTTGTAAAGCAAACGGTAGTGAACAAATCCTCCCCTCAGGTTTTGTAAAGGATTTTGTGAAAGTGAAGAATCCTTTCAAACTGGTTGATTGATTAAATGCAATGTTTTTAATCTGAGATGAATTTACGTGCAACTGAATCATTAACATGAGGACAGTATTTTAAAGCACCAGTCATGCATTATAATCTTTTAGTGTTCATTAAGAATATGAAAAAAAATTGTAAAATACAGATGACAAATAAAAAGCATTAAAAAAAAAATGCTGACACAAGTCTGGTCAAGTTCCTAACTTATTTCAGTCTTCAGTAGTCTGATAATGAGTTGGAAATGCAACTCACATTGCAATGCATTGCATTGAGAAACTGGCATATATTCAAAATATTGCAAGAGGCTGAATGAAATCTTTATGCTTGACTTGTTTTGATTTCAGACTTCTGAATTTTATTTTTTGTGTGTGTGTATGTATATATATATATATATATATATATATATATATATTGGGTATCTTGAAAATTTCAGTTGAGCACTGTTGAAAGATAGGCTGCTTCTATAAACAACAGTCACCTACACTAAGGCAAAATCTCTTCAGTAAAATGAATTGGAGCACTCTGGCTGACTGGCCTTTGTTTACATTCGTAAAAACAATACACTAGAATTAGCTCTTTCTCTCTGCTGAGTGATGATAGCTTAGTGGTAGAAACTCTGACTGATACCAAATCAGTCAGGGTTTTGGTCCTGGCTTGAGGCATTCAGATGTCTAGTCGCACTGAGGAGCTATGATATAGCAAAACAGTACTGTCTGCTAATGGCATATATATATATATATATATATATATATATATATATATATGTACGCAGAAAATTAAATACTTTTCCTTTACTTGAAAAATAAAAACAAGAAAAAACTCAAATAGTTTGAGTTGAAATATAAATGCAAACTGAAATTTGTTGTTTGTGAAGACATACAATAACTGGTATTTTGTGGAATGGACCCCTGATAGGATACTTCCTGGAACACTACAGATTTAACATCTTCAAGTCCAGGGTCAATGAATATCTATTTTAAATATCCTCATAATATACACTTCTTACCACCTCCTTCTTCCTCCCTTACAATAATCAAACTCAGTAATCCTCTACCTTAAGTGACCCTTGGGTTAAATAAAGTAAAAAAAAATAAATAAATAAAATAAAATACATTCTCATATTCTTTTGCCTGTAATAACTTCCTTTTTTGAGGTCAGTGGGGATTTGGAAATTTGTGCTTATATAAAAATGAAGAAATAATAAGATTTGGAATTAAAATGAAAAAAAACATTTTCAGATCCTTTTATCATTTTATCATTCGTATATATATATATATATATATATATATATATATATATATATATATAAAAGAGATAATTATTAAAATATAAAATTTGTCACTTACCTGATTGATGTTATTTTCAGCACCTTGTTATAGACAAGCGTATGGTTGCAAGAAAGAAATACGACAACAGCAGAAATAGATTTAAAGTGATTTACTTCAATAGGAACATGTGGTTTTGGGACAGCTACCTTGTGGTATAGTTCATAAGCCAGCTGCTGATCTGGGTTGATCTCTCATAGTAGTTCTCACTGGTTGGCGTGGCGCTCCTCCTGCTGACTGCTCAGACTGACCATGACAGATCTCTTCCCTGGCCTCCTGTTGACTTCTAGTACTTTCCCATGTGAACCCTTTTATGGTGTTTTTTATGGCTTAACAGGCTTGAAAAACGACGTGAGTATAATTAGGAGGGAAGCATTTTTATTGGTCAAAAAATAGAAACATTTTAAATTATTATTTTATTTTTTAACCGAAACTCATGCATCGAGCCTATGCACAAACGACGATAATGGTTATTTTGTGACAGGGCCTTGTTCCGTTCCCATCCAGTTCTCGCTCTTGAGTATGTAGGTTTATTTGCCTGCAAATCAACCGAGATATGTCTTATTTTATTTTATAACACCCTTGACTCTAGAGTTTCATAGATGGACCCTCCAGCAATCGCTCCATCCACACATCCGGAGATATCAGAAATTGACTATTTATTTTCTCATTTTTCTTTTATATTATATTAAAAAGTGAAGCAATGAATATATTTCATAACTTATGTTTTTAAAGACTATGCCTGTGCATAATAGTGTGTGTGTGTATATATATATATATATATATATATATATATATATATATATATATAATAATTTACTCTACATTTTGTGTGTCCATAAAAAGTGTATACCTGTGCATGATTTTATTTTTATATATATATATATATATATATATATATATATTATAAATTAACTGATTTAAAAATATGGTTTTCATCACTACACAGGAATTACCATGTTCAAAAACAGAAAACTTCAAATTCAATTATATTAAATTAAATGCCGTAGTTCTGATTCATCTTTAAGCAAATTTTGGAATAACTTATTTTAAAATTACTAAGTTTTAAAAACACATACTTTCAAAATTTTGTTTCCAAGGATACAGAGAAATCCAATCATTTAGGCAGGGGCAGTTGTGTGTTCTTTTTTATTAACTGTTATTGTATCAATTATGAGTTACATTCAAAAATGGGTTAAGTCTAGATAAGGTAGGGATGCCTTTTTTCAACAAATTATGACATTCGTTCAACGCATGTCATCTGTTTTTTTTACTATAAAATATATATGATTCATTCTGTGTGAATACATAAAAATGAAAACAGAAACAGGTTTAATATTTTTTTTGAGTAGTTATTCCTTCAAAACTCCATAGAATTTCAACAGAATGATAAAGACCAAAAGCAAAATACAAGATCATCAGAAATTTTTTTGGAATGTTTATTCCAAAGGAATAAAATAATAAAATTTTCCTTGTAGAAAGTTACACCTTTCATTAACTGCAGAGTCCAAGTGTCAATGTTTCTGAGAAAAAAAAAAAGTATTACTTACATTACCCTTTGTAGAAGAGTGCTCTTGATAAAGGAAACTAAAGAGTTTCTTTTTGAAAGTATTAGTTTATAAAATATACTGACCAGCTGCTGCTATAACTAGACTACTGACTACTGCTTTGTGACTCTTCTCTACAACCAGTCATCTGTGTTTGAGACCAAACTCACATTTTCTTTTATGTGGCAATCATTTTGTTGACAAGATAACAGGTTATACACTGTTCCATTTAAGTATTAACAGTAAATTTCTGTTTTGAAATATAAACTTAGAATAGAAACATTTTTTCGATTTAATGTTTCTTTTTATTAGAATATTATCATGGCTTGATTTTCCAAGAGATTTTAGTTGGTCTTCTGCACCTGTTACCAGATCTCCTACAGGATTTGCAGGAGATGTAGAAAAACCCTCAGGTCTGTACAAGTAAAATTTTAAAGTAGAGTGCTATAGGCACATAACTTACCCCAGTATTTAAACCAGGGATTCACATGCCATGACACAGCTGTAAGGTCCTCAGGTTACAGGTTTCCTCCTTAGCAGTGTGGTGAACTGGCTATATAGATCTGTAATCCCATTTGAAAGAATTATGATGATTATAAGGTTAATAGTAATATCACAAAGGAAAATGTATTTTTATGCTTAGTATTCTCATAATTGTAGTGAGTCTTACTTCTTTTTCATTCATTCAATATTTATTCTTTATTGTGACTAATATATTCTTCACCTATCTTCTTTCTTCCCCTTCTTTATTTTTTTCTTTTTCTTCCCTTCTTTATTTTTTTCTTCTTTCTTCCCCTTCTTTTTTTTTCTTCTTTCTTCCCCTTCTTTTTTTTTTTCTTTCTTCCCCTTCTTTATTTTTCTTCTTTCTTCCCCTTCTTTATTTTTCTTCTTTCTTCCCCTTCTTTATTTTTCTTCTTTCTTCCCCTTCTTTATTTTTCTTCTTTCTTCCCCTTCTTTATTTTTCTTCTTTCTTCCCCTTCTTTATTTTTCTTCTTTCTTCCCCTTCTTTCTTTTTCTTCTTTCTCTCCCTTCTTTTTTTTCTTCTTTCTTCGCCCTTCTTTTTTTTTTTTCTTTCCCTTCTTTTTTTTCTTCTTTCTCCTTCTTATTTTTTCTTTTTTTCTTCTTTCTCGCCCTTCTTTTTTTCTTCTTTCTCGCCCTTCTTTTTTTTCTTCTTTCTCGCCCTTCTTTCTTTTTCTTCTTTCTCGCCCTTCTTTCTTTTTCTTCTTTCTCGCCCTTCTTTCTTTTTCTTCTTTCTCGCCCTTCTTTCTTTTTCTTCTTTCTCGCCCTTCTTTCTTTTTCTTCTTTCTCGCCCTTCTTTCTTTTTCTTCTTTCTCCCCTTCTTTCTTTTTCTTCTTTTTCCCTCCTTTTTCTTCTTTCTTTTCACTTTCTTTCCTCCTTTTTCTTCTTTTTCTCTTTCTTTCCTCCTTTTTCTTCTTTTTCTCTTTCTTTCCTCCTTTTTCTTCTTTTTCTTTCTTTCCTCCTTTTTCTTCTTTTTCTTTCTTTCCTTTTTTCTTTTTTCTCTTTCTTTCCTTCCTTTTTCTTCTTTCTCTTTCCCTCCTTTTTCTTCTTTTCTTTCTTTCCACTTTTCTTTTCTTCTTTCTTTTGTTTCTTTCTTTCTTCCCCTTCTTTCTTTTTCTTCTTTTTTCTTCTAATCCTTTCTTTTTCTTCTTTCTTTTACTTCTTCTGTCTTCTCCTCCTTTTTTTAATTCTTTCTTTTTCCCCTCTTTTCTTACTTCTTCCTTTCTCCTCCTCCTTTTTCTATATCTTTGAACTTTTTCTTCATTTTCCTTCTGCCACTTCTCCCTCCTCTTCCTATTTTCTTTTTCTGCTTTCTTTCCTTCTGCTTCCTTTTCTTACTCCTTTCCTTTCTTTTTACTTCCTTTCTCCCACTTCTTCCTATCATTTTCTTATGTTTCTGATCTCTCTTCCTCTTTTCTTACACTTCTCTTTATTTATCCTTTTCTCTCAACATTGTCATCACCACACATTATATTAAATTACTGCTTTACTTATATTTTCTTACCATTGTAATTATTGGCTTTATTGATAATTATCGTAAAAAGACAATGAGATTATAGTTCTTTTTATATTTCTGCAGTAATTTTCAACCATCCTATTATCACTACCATATAATTATTTGTGTTAATTATATTTATATAATGATTATTTCGTTGTTATTATTATAATGATTCTTCTTGTGTTTTAAATTTGTATCGTCTTCTACACGGCCTTGTGAGTGATTATTTTCTGCTCTACAACCACTTTCCCACATGAAAAATATCATATGCCTCTCCCTTCCATGGCAAATGTTCTAATGAGCTACATTCCTTGGTTCCAACAGCCCTCATTTTTCAGCTGGGTCCCACCATGCCACATACACAAGGATGAATCATCTGTATTTCCTTCGTATTCCATTAGTAAGGAGGAAGTTCCACTCAGACAGCTTCTTCACAAGAATTGCTTCTTTGTTGGACAGACTACCTTGATTACTACAGTCTTGATCTCTTCAAGTCACAGGTTAACTGTTATCCTTCCTGAATAACCTTATGAACTGAACTTCTTGCCTTTTCTTATGCTCATACAATGCCACAGCCATCTTGGATATGATGATAAACTAATTTCAACAGCAAAGCCTCTGATCAGGAGGTTTTGAGGAGCGTGGAACCACCTCTTAATTGCTGGTGTTCCCAGGTCCACCCTGACCCGGGGTGGTAGCACCTGTTACGGTCTCAGTTATGGGCAAATTTTTAACCCCCAAACTGAGGTCAAAACACTATGAAAGTGGAAAAATAAGTTTTAATACCAGAAATACTTTGTAAAAAAATATTACCAGCATTAAATTTTTGAAGGAAAAAATTATTACCAGCAGTACATTCTTGAAAAAAAAAAATATTACCAGCAATACATTTTAGGGGGAAAAATGCCCGCAATACATTTTTGAAAAAAATATTACCAGCAATACATTTTGAAGGAAAAATATTACCAGAAATAGATTTTTGAATGAAAAAAATATTACCAGCAATACATTTTGAAGGAAAAATATTACCAGAAATAGATTTTTTGAATGAAAAATATTACCAGCAATACATTTTGAAGGAAAAATATTACCAGAAATAGATTTTTGAATGAAAAAATATTACCAGCAATACATTTTGAAGGAAAAATATTACCAGAAATAGATTTTTGAATGAAAAAAATATTACCAGCAATACATTTTGAAGGAAAAATATTACCAGAAATAGATTTTTGAATGAAAAAGTATTACCAGCAATACATTTTGAAGGAAAAATATTACCAGAAATAGATTTTTGAATGAAAAAATATTACCACAATACATTTTGAAGGAAAAATATTACCAGAAATAGATTTTTGAATGAAAAAAATATTACCAGCAATACATTTTGAAGGAAAAATATTACCAGAAATAGATTTTTGAATGAAAAAATATTACCAGCAATACATTTTGAAGGAAAAATATTACCAGAAATAGATTTTTGAATGAAAAAAGTATTACCAGCAATACATTTTGAAGGAAAAATATTACCAGAAATAGATTTTTGAATGAAAAAAATATTACCAGCAATACATTTTGAAGGAAAAATATTACCAGAAATAGATTTTTGAATGAAAAAAGTATTACCAGCAATACATTTTTGAAAAAAATATATTACCAGTAATAAAAATTTTGTTGGCATTAAATAACCCACTGAGTTTGATATACCATAAAACAAAACAAACAATACAACACCACGTGGTATTCATCTACCTTGAATGGCTGTTGGGCCTTGCATTCGGTTGACAATTGTAAAAGAAAAATATTTTCCTATGAGGATATACAAAGAGTTATTGTCTCAAGTGCCAACTACTGGGATTCAAATCTTGGATAACATCATTATTCCAGAAGTACTTATCTTCTATGTGTCCTTGAGAACATAGTTGCTCATGGCTCTCCATAACTTTCTATCCTTTGTAGGTCTTAGCAGTGTTTATTTTTTTTACTATGCTTTCCATTTTCTCTTTTGCCATTCATTTTCAAACGTCTGTTCAATACATTACTCAAATAACATTGGCAAATGTATGAATCCATCTCCTCCCTCCAGCTATGGGTTAAATATTTAAACTTGTATCTGAAAAGATCATTGTTATTCTCAAAAAAACTTGTTAATGCAATTTTCACTTGCAAAAGAAAATAATTATTCTTAAAATCAAAAATGTTTCAATTTTAAATAACCCACAAAAGGTTGATAAGCCATAAAAACTAATCAATCAATTGCCTTCAATATATCCTGTGAGTTTCAAATTTTCCAAACCTTCTTTTCTCATTATACATTGCAAAAATTTCAACTATCTCCTTCTGCTTCTAACTATGTGTCCTTTTTGTTTTCATTTTCCTTAAAACTTTCTCGTTTCTTATATGCTCTGTCCATAATATTGTCTGTGCTCTTCTGAAGAACGACTTCTCTCTTACCTCAAGTCTTCATCTGTGAGAAAAAGATCTGGCATTTACTGTTGACCAAAAGTAGAAAACTGGACGAGATTTGAAAACCCTTTCTTTAATTTAGCTTCTTTTTTTTTTTTCATTTAGCAAAGTTTCCAAATTATATTAGCAAATGATTGTTCTCTTTTTCTTCTGGGATTATATAGTTATTTACTAAGTGTAGCCTAGATCATAGTTATTTACTAAGTGTAGCCTAGATGTGACACAAGGCTGAAAGTGTGGAGCAGCCAGTGAGAACCAAACTTGGTACTCAGTCATAACTATTCTAGTGAGACAAGCTTGCTAACCATTAAACCATGATGAAGTGCTCATTTCTAGGATTATATTCATCAAAGCACCCATGATTTTCTAAGCATGGCTTAGATGTGGCGCAAGGCCAAAAGCATGGAATGCTCTGTGTGGATTGAACTCACTACTCAGTTGTAACAGACCTAGCAACATAAGCTTGCTGACTATAGAACCATGTTGAAGTGCTCAGTTCTGGAATTATATACTTTGAGTGTATACAGGAACCAACATTTGCTTGGGTCCACTGAAACAAATAAAACTGAGGATTAACTTATTTCATTGGCATTTCAAAGGTGAATTTCAGACAACTTCATTGTTAATTATTTATAGATTATTCTGAATTAGCAGATGTGTGGGTAGTGTGATTATCATCATCACAGAAACTGGAATTGGCAAGCTGAATTCAAATCCCAAGATTGTTATATTCTCCTTACCCTATTAGTAATGGTCAGATTTACTTTTCCCTTATACAGAAACATGTGGCATTCACTGACCGAACAATTAACATTACTGTCAGCTGAAATTCATAAAATCTTTCTCTTAAAACAGTATCTCAGGAAAATGGGTTTCTTAAGTCCTTTAACTGTTATTGCTCTTTCTAATACTGATAGGAGTTTTCTTTCTAACCATTTGATAATGATAGTGTGAAAAGTCAGCATCTTGATAATGTAATTATTTTCTCTGTGAGTTGCATGCATTATTTTAGTAGTTGCTTCTGTTGAAAGTCTTCAAGTAATGTAGTTTTTTTTTATTTGGCACAGTTCTTTGTGATTCTGTAGCACTAGACTCTGAGATCTGACAACGGACAGTCATCTTCAAGACACACAAGATTAATTCTCTTGAATCTGT